TGTCTGTGAATTAGTGGTGCAGATGTGTGGTGACTTTTGATGAATGACTTTCTTCTTGTCCTAGCCCTCAAGAAAACCAGACAAATCAAAAGAGTCTCTTGCTCTTTTTTTGTTTTTGTCCTCCAGTATCACCAACTTGAAGTACTGGGGCCGTTGTGAACCAATCACCTCCAAGACACTACAGCTTCTCAATGATCTCTCCATTGGATATCCTTTTCTAAGCTGGCTTCTGTGCACAGCAGAAACTGTGGCAGGCCACAGTCTAGGAATCATAGCCTCCTGCCATTTCCACTTTAATTTAGCTTTAGTGTGTACTCAGCTATCTTCCATTTTCCTAGGAGTCAAAGGCAGTGCCCACACAGAATCCAGGAATAATTTCAGACTTCAAAAATGAGATGAGACACCAACCCAATAGTTTACACATTTATCCCTGGCTATTCACAAGGTCCAGGCATACATAATAGATGAATCTTGTAGATACACACTCTGTGTGGTCAAGGTTGTAGTATGTTAGTGATGACAAAGCCCCTCTCGGGTTGGTTGTCCTATCAGCTAGCTGATTGGTAGAAACATCCTGATTCTAAGCTTTGTGGTAGAAGTCACGGCTGTACTTCCTCTTGACGTACACTAGGTCCGCTACAAAGTTTGAATTGCTCTAGGACAGCTTTTCACAACCAGGGGTCCACAGGAGGAGTCAACCCTGTAAAATTATTGATGTGACTTTTTCTCAATTCTCCCAAAGATAGTACATAGCTCGTACCATTCTAAGTAGTAAAGTTCATTCATTATACATAATGGATGCCTAAGGCAGAGCTTTAGGGCTTAATTCTCCCTTGGACTCCTGCTGAGAAAAGCTACTCTAGGATATTCATGATTCTTTGGGGAAACTTCAGGGTTTTATCTGTTTTCTTACAGATAGGAGTTCTCTAACTGGTCAGTTAAATATTGCTTAGAAGAGAATACATTTTTTCCTGTTTGGCAGCGGTATACTCAAGTGGTTTAGAAAAATCAGATATTCGGGTAAACTGTACTTTATCCTGGATGGTTTCCATCTGCCTTAAAAATTCTTAGTTTGCTTCACACTTTCCTTGACCTTCTTCTTTGTCTTTACATACAGTAGCGTAAGGAAGCTGGTGAAGCTTAGTGCGGTACAGTTCATGCTGAACAATCACACGGTGAGTGACGCTAGCCCCCTCTCCCATCATCCACACATACACTTTCTCCACACATAAAGGAGATGTTTAAATTGGGGTCCCGGCTACTGCTACAACAAAGATGGGAGTCAGGTGATGACACACTTACTGTCATCAGAGCTGCTCCAGATGCTTTGCATTATGGTGAAGTCACCTACTACTATTCACACTGCAGTGAATTAGCAGCAGGCAACAACAGTAAGCAAAACAAAACACCCTTCAGATCCTCAAGAATGACCATATAGCCATTAGCTTGAAAGGGCTCAGTAATTCTCGAATTGCTGGCTTGTATTCTCCCTTTAACCGTGTTTTTACCTTTTTAACTTCTTTTCTTTTTTTCTATAGAGCGAGCACTTTTCATTTTTGGGTATTAACAATCAGTCCAACCTGACAGACATGCGGTGTCGGACTACGTTCTACACAGCACTTGGGCGTCTCCTCATGGTGGATTTAGGTACTGCAATAAATCCTAGAGGCTCCTGAAATAATCTGGCACTGTTTGAAATTTTGATTTGAAGACGGAAAACTAGATGCGGAGGACATCTTTTCTGTTGTTTCAACAGTAACAAAATCATCTGAAATAACAGTCTGATTTCACTGAGAACATATCATGCTGTCATGATCCTGTAACTGGAAGAGAGTAACAGCATGCCCCTGAAGTTTCTTCCAGTGCGCAGTAGCTTTAAAGTTCCCTTTATGTTCCCTATCTGTAAAATAAGGGACTTGATCACTGAGATTCCTAAATGCATCTTGTTGGCCAGATAACTTCTCCACCCCACATTGAGGTGCAAACCCACTTTAGACAGTCAACAAAAACTTTTTATTATCCAGTTCTCTAGCACATAGGAACCAGGAGGGCTTAATCCCCTTTGTAGCAATAGTGTTGATATTTGCAGTTTTAGATCAACTAATAACTGAAGCTCAATGGTATCATTCTCATTTTGAGCTACTTATATTTAATCATACTAAAATGACATTATAAAACCTTTCTAAGTTCATCAAAGTTTACAAGAAAAAAAAAAGAGGAAAGTGTGAATAAACCCTCCACAAGCACTTCTTTCAAGTTTGAGTCTCATCTAGTTCTCAGACACCAACCATGCATGGTCCTTTCTGGATTGACTCTAATTCTCACTAAGGCAAAGTAAGTAAATAACATAGTATCTTAATACACACATGAATCACTGATACTGCCGCTCAACATCAGAAAACTGAGGACATTCTCAGACTGGATGGTTTCTGTCATTTTCTAGTTTTAAAATTGTTTCTGTATATACATTTTATTCTTAAATTGCTACTAAAACCTGTTGGGATGATAAAGGGCCCCTCCACCCCCACCCTTTGAATTACCTTTGGGTCTACTCATCTTTCATCCCCTCTTATCTCTTGTGCATACACAGCTTTGAATTCTTTGTGTTGGGGTCACAGCCTGAGTTGTTTTCCTTACAGGAGAGGATGAAGATCAGTATGAGCAGTTCATGCTGCCACTCACAGCAGCGTTTGAGGCTGTGGCCCAGATGTTTAGCACTAATAGTTTCAACGAGCAAGAGGCAAAGGTGAGTCGTTCACCGCGGATTGATCTGCTGCTGGCTTAGGGCAGTCCCTGATAGAGCCGAGATCAGCTAGCACGGCAAAAAATACTGAGTCCATAAACTGCTGCTTTAGCTTTCTACTTTCTTGGATTCCTGGGATTTTGGAATTGAAGAACCACATAAACTCTTGTTTTTATATTAAAGTATATTTTTAAGCAGTTCTTAGGATTTTTTTTTTTTTGGTCTAAGTTTTCAAATGAATTAGCATAAAGTTGTTTGTAGTTTTCTTACTGCCTTTTTAATCTGTTATATCTTTAATTATGGCCCTTTTCATTTTTAACACTGCTTATTAATGCTTTCGATCTCTTTCTAGATCTGTCCCTGCCAGAGATTTGTCAGTTTTATTAGTCTTTGCAAAAAACAAAACATTTTTTGACTTTGTTTTTGCTCTTTTTAATTTGTTTTCTGTTTCATTCATTTCTACTTTTATCTTTATTTTCATGTATTTTCCTTGGAGTTATTCTATTGTTCTAACTTCTTAACTGTTCAGCTTTTCTTCTTCCCTAATATGATTATTTAAAACTATGAAAGTCCCTCTAGGTATAGTCTATAAGTGTGGGATTTCTTTTAATTGTGGCAAAAAGACACACAGAATTTACCATATTAACCATTTTTACATGTACAGTTTAGTAATGTTAAGTATTTTTACATTGTTGTTAAACATCTTCAGAATCTACAAGTTTTAATATGTAAGATCTTCATTATCATTCAGGTCTTTGTAATGTCTCATTTCCATTGAGATTTCTTCTTTGACATGAGTCATTTAGAAGGCTTTTCGAATTTCCATATATATGGAATTTTAAGTTGCTTTTACTTCTTGATTTTCAGCTCTCAGAAGTGCCTTAATTGTTGCTTTCCTCATCTTTCTTACTTTATACATGCCTGCTCTCCTGACCTGTAGATTTCTGTGCCAAAATCCAAAGACATCAGAATGTTAATACTGGTAGGACTTTTTGCCGTGTTCCTAAGGGCACTGAGGCTGAGTGGTAGAACCAACAGATAGCCAGGGGTATCACCAGAAAAAATGCTAGGCTGTACCTGACGTTCCAATGTTCTCCTTTTCATCTTTAGAAAGCCTCTTAGTTTTCCCTCTGCAAATCAGCAGAGTAGTCAGAGAGCAACACCACTTTGTCCAACACTGTCTTCCCTTTATATTTGTATGTTGGGGTCTGAAATGGGTACTGTTCAAAGCTGGGGTTAGTGTGGAACATATCAGTAACTTAGGCTAGAATATCAACCAATATCAAGGACTTAGGGTGAATTTATATGCTCTCTGTGTAGCCCAGTTTGATAATCAGTGAATATCAGTCGTTTCCCCATAATATTAGTCCTATACAAGGCAAGTAAAATTAACCAAAGGCACCATCTTGGCAATGGACTACAACCATTACCCACATCTTTGTCATATCCCACAGCTAGATTTTAAAAGCAGTCTTACTGCTCAGGGCCCCAAGTAAAAGTTCTATTGAGAAAGAGAGGATTGCATTTAGAGTCTTAGTGCTATGTATGAATCCTAATCTGGGCCCTTCTACCACCTAGTAGCATGAGTGTGGGCAAGTTATTTGGCCTCTTTTAGGATTGGCCTCTTTTAGTCTCTTTTTCTGTAAAATGAGAGCACAGTATTTTACAGCTCCAGCATTCAATAGGTCAGTCTTACTTCCTGACAGCCCAAACACAGGGGGACAGGTACCACGTAGACTCCCCTTCTTCGTCTTGGCAGGGTTTGCATTTGAGTTCCTTTAGGATACAGACTATTAGGATATATGTGGCTTTTCTACATCTTCTTGTACGGGCTTTTTTGGTTTTCCACCTTTTTTTTTTTTTTGCCCCCCTTGATGTGCCCAGAGCTTTTCCAGATTTATTACTTTAATATCTTAAAAGCTTGTCAGCCTCAATTTTTGCTATAATGGGCCAGGAATCATCCATTTTCTTAGTATAACAAGCTTCCAAAACTAATTTTCCAAGTGAAAAAGATTCCATTTTAACATGGAAGAGATTGATTCAGGCTATTTGGGAAGGAGTATTTGTTGAACTGTGGGAGGAAGAATTTGATTACAGATGTGTGAAATCCCCATGAGATGGTTATAAGTTTAGTTTTTCTTCTATTTTAATATATTTTTGCCTTCTACAGCGAACTCTAGTTGGCCTGGTGAGAGACCTGAGAGGGATAGCTTTCGCCTTCAATGCCAAGACCAGCTTCATGATGCTCTTTGAGTGGATGTATCCTAACTCAAGCTAGGAGCACACCACAGCAAGCCTTACCTGGGGTGTGATTGGCGGTGAGGTCGTAAAGCGGGCAGAGGGGAGAGAGGGAAGGTGTGATGAGGCAAAGAAGATGGAGAGAGTTACCCACAAGGCCTGCCATGTGTCCTGTGGTGTGACACGTGCCATCCCACAGTGGTCTGATGGCATAGTGTTGTCTGAGATTAGGACATGAATGAGGTAGTTTCCCAGTTCCTCTTTTGGGTCCCAAATATAAATACCTGTGGAACTATATACCACTGTGGAACTGTTGATGTTGCTACACTTAGAAAAGAGAGACATTTCAATCTACTAAAAAATGACAGGTTTTAAGAATTAGGAAGTCTAACTTTACTGACTTCATAACCTTGAGCAGATCATTTTAAATCCAAGTGCCTCTATTTCTCCGAAAGATATGTAAAGGAAATAGCTGATCCCTGTCATATCATAGAAGTGGTAAAGGGATAAGTAACAATATCATATACATTGTGCTCTTCAGAAGAAAGGTGGTATGTAAATTAAAATGTCTCATTAGATGCCTTTTACAGGTTAGAGGACACACAGTCACTTTAGCATCTTCTGGATGCTAGAAAGACTCTAAGATGCAAGGAAGAGACAGGAAATTGGAGAACTGTAATTTGACAGTTTTGTGCTTAGCTAGTGCTGAGAAACTTTTAAATTCTGTACCTTTCTGGATTCAGAAATCCTTCCTTAGCTTCTCATTTACAGATACCCATCCTACATGCCAATTCTCCAACGGGCAATTGAGCTCTGGTACCACGATCCAGCCTGTACCACACCTGTGCTCAAGCTGATGGCTGAATTAGTTCACAACAGGTGAGCAGGGGGCAAACCTTCACAGGGCACAGCTGCCCTTTTATCTGAGAAAGCCCCGAGGATTTGCTTTATCTAATGCTTTAGGCAGATTGTGGGAAATAATAAGGTTTACGGCTATCAAAATTTGAAAACTTCTAAAAGTTTACGTGGGTGTGTTTTTGTTTGTTTGAAGGAAGGATATTCCCAGCCACACAAAGCCATAGCTGACTGAAGAAAATAAATCACTTTAAAAAGAGTTTCAAGGCCAGGCGCAGTGGCTCATGCCTGTAATCCTAGCTACTTGGGAGGCTGAGGCAGGAGGATCACTTGAGCCCAGGAGTTTGAGGTTGCTGTGAGCTAGGCTGACGCCACGGCACTCTAGCCTGGGCAATACAGTGAGACTCTGTCTCAACAACAAAAAAAAAGAGTTTCAAGATGTCCATTCTTACAAGAAGTAAATTTGGCAACCAAGATTCAAATTACAGCTGGATCAATAAAGGTTCACTTTTTTATAAAAAGTGAGAAAGATTTCAAAAACACCAAATTTTAGATTTGCCCAACAATTTAGGGACGGTGAAAAAAATACAGCACCTTAGCTTTACTAGAATTTCAGGCATGTGCATCTGTCTCTCACAGCACTCCTGGGAGAATTGGTAATTTTTAAAACTACCTTAGGGAGTGGGTAATATTTAATGAAGCTGTTACCGCTTATGGGGCTTCTATTCAAGAGTTATTCATTTATAAAATAGATATTTGAGAGCATCTACTGTTTGCCAGGCACTTCCCTAGCTACTGTGCCAGAGAAAATCTCTGCCCTCTTCGATGTTACAAATGGCGGGAAAGACGGGCAGCAAAAATAAGCACAGACGATACTTTCAGACAGTGATTAAGTGCTATAAAACCACGAGGCAATAAAAGGAGAATTGAAGGAGTGTCAAAGAAGGCCTCTGAAAGAGGGTAATATTGAAGCTGAGATCTGAATGACAAGAAAGATTCTGGTAGCCCGGGAAAGATCGGAGTGTTGTAAACAGAAAAGCAACTGCAAGAGTCCTGAGACAGGATACACTAGCTGGGACTTGTGGCTGGGGGCTGCCTGAAAGGGGAGTCGGACCGGTGGGCAGAACCAGGTCGTCTGACACCTTGGCACGGCAGTGGTGAGGAGTGTGCATTTGTTCTCATTGCACTGGAAAGCTGCTGCAGTGTTTTCAGCAAGGGATTAAAATGATCTGCTTACATTATTTAAAGGCCACCATGTGAAGAGTGGGACTGCCGGGGGACAGGGGTGGGAACATGGAGACCGTATAGGAAGTGGGCAGGTTCAGGGCATATTTTAGAGCTGGATCTTGATGGCTCAGTGTCGGAGGAAGGATGCCCGGGTCTGAGGCCTGACCAGCTTGAGTCCACTGAAGCTCATTAAAAGGTAGAACAGACAAAAGAAGAGGTGTTCTCATCTAATGAACAGAGTCAGGAGCTCAGAGCTAGGATTGTTGCAGATCTTTTCCTTCTCCGCCTGACTTGTGTTGTAGCCTTCCAAGTCCCTTTGTATCTTCTCTTTTTATAAAGTGACAACAATGCTTGTACCCCTCCCGAAGTTGCCACCGAAGCCATAAAGGTAGGTGTAGACTAATGCCTGAAGGGCAGTAAGTTAATACCAAGAAGTACCTGGTAGAAGCTATACTTTAATCAAATAAAATTGCGAGTTTTGAAAGTAATTTTATCTGCTGCCACAATTTTTTTGCTTCTTTTAAATGTTTACAATTTGAGCAGCAGAACTTGAATCTAGCATGTTGGTCTTTAAGATACAAGCTACACTGTATGGATTAAATATTTGTAACTTGGTTATGCTCACATTATGATAGGCAATCTGAATATCTTACTGCAGAGTCACCCAAGGTGCTCAGATGAGAGCCTGACGTACCCCAATCTTCCAAGAAAATGCCTCTGACTTTTTCTCCTCCTGTGCTCTCTGTGCAGATCCCAGCGACTCCAGTTTGATGTCTCTTCTCCCAATGGCATTTTACTTTTCCGAGAAACCAGCAAGATGATAACAATGTATGGTAAGTGCTTCAGAGGATCATGCCCCTGGAAGTGAATTTCAGCTCAGTCACCACACTAAGCAGTGTGGGGGTCTCTGGCTAGCCCTGGCGACAGCCGGGACAGCATCCCCTGGGCATGCTGTGTTCCTCATACATGTGTATCAGTGTACTGGCTGTCACCACGGGCTTTTGTATGCCTTTGGAATAGGAAGGCTGAGTTTATGTATGCACTGTTGATTCCAGTGTGGTTGAATAAACATGTGTTGTGTGTCTACTCAGGCAATCGTATCCTGACACTAGGAGAAGTCCCAAAGGATCAGGTCTATGCCCTGAAACTCAAGGGGATCTCCATCTGCTTCTCCATGCTGAAGGCTGCCCTCAGTGGGAGTTACGTCAATTTCGGAGTCTTCCGTCTCTATGGGGATGATGCCCTGGACAACGCCCTACAGACCTTCATCAAGCTGCTTCTCTCTATTCCTCACAGTGACCTCCTGGTAAGCCTGGAGCTTTGTGGACAGCGCCTTGCCCCATAGCACGTTCAGTTTTTTTTTTTTTTCCACCTGAGACCATGATTGAATGTTTTCCTTGAGAAACGATGACCTAGCTCCTTTCTGCTATACCTTTTTTTTTTTTTTTTTTGCTATAACTGTTTTGTTTTCCCAGTTTTATTTAAGATCTTCTTCCTTCACGCTGAAGTGCACAGAGCCTAAGCTGATTTTCTTCCTCCTCCTCTCCCACAGGATTACCCCAAGCTCAGCCAGTCTTATTATTCACTACTGGAAGTCCTGACCCAGGACCACATGAACTTCATTGCAAGCCTGGAACCTCATGTCATCATGTATATTCTCTCTTCCATTTCTGAAGGACTTACTGCACTTGGTAAGCACCGGGGTGCATGGGTTGGTTAGCTGGGTTTTTACCACTTAACAGAAGGGAAGAATCTTGCTCCAGTGTCCAAAAGGATTACTGCCTGGGGAGTTGGCACCAACAACAGAGTACGTAATTCACGGTACTTTCTCATCGAGCACGTCCTTACTGGTCCCCTCCTAAGTACCAGGCACTGTGCATGGCACTAAGGATATAGTAATTGACAACACAGAGTCCTTATCCTTAAGGAGCTTTTTATCTGGTGGATGAAACAGACACATGAACAGACTACTGCCTGTTTAAGATGGTTACACTTAAACGCACTACCACAGAGGTGAGTACAAAGTGCTACACGGCCCTCAGGAAGAATACCTGAACTCCTGGTACTGAGGACGTGGGGTCAAGGAAGACTTGGCATCAAAGCGTATCCCTCAAATCTGGATAGTTGTTACCCAGGTTAGCAGGGGAGGCTTCCTAGCAGCAGGGGCAGCAAAGACTAGCATCTGTGGGCGAGAAGGGACCAAGAACTCCAGATGGGTGGCACACAAGCACAGAAGAGTTAGAGAGGAGTGAACTGGAGTTCTGGAGATAAGCAGGAGCCAGTGTGAGGGCTCCAAGGATCATGAGGGCCCTTCCCCCGCGGCAGGGTGTTTTGGCTCTACCCTGAGGCAGGGGAAGCTGTGGGGAGATTTTTCACAGCTAGCGCCATAGTTTTTTCATTCTAGTTCATATGGTTCCTGTCAGCCATTGTGTTTGTAGGCTACCTTGTAGCAGTCTTAATAGATATGTGTGTTCAGACAATAAAACATATTTTTATTTTAGGCCGAGCAAAACATAAACAGAAAGATTAAGTCAACTGCAGAATAATCATGACATAATGCAAGTGCACATAGACTCCAGAAGTCATTTTGGATCATCTACTGGTGAATTGTGCCACGCTTCACTAATGCACATTTACATCCATCAAGCTGCACAGCCATGTCTAGTACAATCCAGTCACAGTATTACAGCTTGCTTCGGGAGGCTATTTTATGTCTTCTTGAAAAGAAAGGGACTTTTGCATAAGCTGTCAGTCCCATAGGAATCAGAGAATTGTTTACTCTTTTAAGAGTTCATCCCTTAATGCTGTGGTCTCACTTCGTGTTTACAGAGGAAACACTGCAGGCGGTGCGGCAGTGCTCCCTTTGTGAAATGCACGTGGCTCCCTCGGAGATGCTTTGGAGATAAACAAAAAACATAGTACACCCCATTCTAACCAATCGTAGATGTTTATAGGCAATATTAAGCTGGGTTTAATGACATCTCTCAGGTAATGCAGAGCATAGGCTCACATCTCACACTTGGATTCTAATCACAACTCTTCAATTACTAGCAGTGTGATCTTTAGGCAAGTCACATAATTTTTCCAAATTCTGGTTTCCTCATGTGTGAAACAGAATGCCTCCTTCCTGGAGTTCTTGAGAGGACAAATTAGAGATAATATCTATAAAGTACTTAGCATAATGTCTGGCACAAAAGAAGTACTTGCTGAATGTAAACTGTTTGTTAGTTTTTATGAAGCAGAAGACATCCATCCACAACACATTGAGCCAGTAATTTCGGTATTATTTCTTTGTATTTATTTTACATTTATTACACCTACTCACTTTCAAACTTAGAAATTGGGCCTTGCACGGGTATTTGTATACACAAGGAGTGCAATGCGCACTACCTGAAGGATGGACATATTTGAAACACGGACTTCGGTGGGGGGGGGGAACCAAGGGCAACACACGTAACCTAAACATATGTACACCCATAATATGCTGAAATAAAAAAAAAAAAAAGAAAAAAAAAGAAATTGGGCCTTGCTGTATAATGAGGGTAAGAGAGGAGCTGGAAGCATTCTGAGTAGTGGCCTTGGCTGAAATGGCCACAGTTCCCAATCTGACCAGGTACTTCTATGGGATCTGAGCTAAGGTTAATCCATGTTTGCCCGGGTCCCCATTGGCAGCTCAATGTGCCTGCTCCATCCCACCCCTGCCACTGTTTCTTGCAGACACCATGGTATGTACAGGCTGCTGCTCCTGCCTGGACCACATCGTGACATACCTCTTCAAGCAGCTGTCACGGAGTACCAAGAAGAGGGCGACACCCCTGAATCAGGAGAGTGATCGCTTTCTGCATATCATGCAGCAGCATCCAGAGATGATCCAGCAGGTAAGGAAGTGGAGGGTTAGGAGGTAGCAATGGGGTGCCCCACAATGGAGGGAACCTCTGCAAGAGAGGGGAAGCCACACAAGATAATGAATGTGACTAACATCAGGTTCATGCTGCTGAGATCAAGTTTTTGTCTTAAACTTGCAGTGGAGGCCGCGCACAGTGGCATATACCTGTAATCCCAGCACTTTGGGAGGCTGAGGCAGGAGGATTGCTTGAGGCCAGGAATTTGAGACTAGCCTGAGCAACACAGCAAGACCCCATCTCTAAAAAATTTTTTAATTAGCCATGCATGGTGGCGTAGTCCTGCCAAGCTACTTAGGAGGCTGAGATGGGAGGATAACTTGAGCCCAGGAATTCGAGGCTGCAGTGAGCTAATTGTGCTCTTGCATTCTAGCCTGGGCAACAGAGAGAGAGACCTCATCTCTCTAAAAAATTGCACTGGATTTTGAGTTTGCTGAGTAATCATTGGATATAGAAAATTTGAAACAACCAAGATCTGAATTGTTGTTCTGAATGTCACACCAAGCCCTATTCCCTGGGCCTATCTCATGAGCACCGTCCTCCTCCTGTGAAAATTACCTTGCTCACCCATTGCCATAAACGGAACATGACTTAGCAGTATCCAGCCTTCTTACGGCTTATCTTCTCACTTGCAAAATGGGAACAAGAATGCAGGACAAAAGAAATTAACTGACCACAGAGATATCAGACCATATGCTCGCCCTTATTTTATTTGTATGCAACAAAAATAAGACTTGAAGCAACTTGCAAAAATACAAGTGGGGGCTGGGCATGGTGGCTCACGCCTGTAATCCTAGCACTCTGGGAGGCCAAGGCGGGAGGATAGCTCAAGGTCAGGAGTTTGAGATCAGCCTGAGCAAGAGTGAGATCCCACCTCTACTAAAAATAGAAAGAAATTAGCTGGACAACTAAAAATATATAGAAAAAATTAGCCGAGCATGGTGGCGCATGCCTGTAGTCCCAGCTACTTGGGAGGCTGAGGCAGAAGGATTGCTTAAGGCCAGGAATTTGAGGTTGCTGTGAGCTAGGCTGACACCACGGCACTCTAGCCCAGGCAACAGAACACAACTCTGTCTCAAAAAAAAAAAAAATACAAGTGGAGTTACGAGATAAAAATAGATAAGGAAATGGGATCAGCAGAATTACTGAGATTTTAGCCAATCTCACCTTTGTCCACATTGTTCTCCATAAGAAGCAGTGAAATAATTTATAACACCATCACATCTACAAAATGTTACAGAGCCGTATCTCCTCTGGGACCAGTAGTACCTGGAAGTGACAGTGCATGGTATTTCGCCTACTTTAATTTTGTTTGCCTGACCCCATCCCATCGCCCACAAGTCTGGGTGAACTGGGAAAGTCCATTTGTAAATGCAGTTATCAAACCAAGGTAAAGAACAGGAAAGGAAATATCTTAGAAGAAAAGCTTACCTTGAAATAGAAGACTAAAATGAAGCTTAACAAAATATGTGTCTCATTTACCCTTCACAGAAAAGGGCTTCAACCTAATACACTCCTCTCTTTGCAGTGTGTCATTTTGTCTTGGGTAGCCATGCACTAGGTCACTGACTCGTTCTCCATTTTCAGATGCTCTCCACGGTGCTGAACATCATCATCTTTGAAGACTGTAGGAACCAGTGGTCTATGTCCCGACCGCTACTTGGCTTGATACTACTTAATGAAAAGGTAGGAGAGCCAGTCCTGACGCCAGGCCAGAAGAAATGGCAGACATGCACTTGGCTGTCACTTTCCAGGCACCGTGAGAAATGCACATAGAAACACCCAGGATGGCAGAACAGGGAAAATGGGCCACTCACTGAGCATGTCCTATACATGCTGTGAATATCATGTAATCACTTGGCTGTGGGACCGCAGCACATGTGGCAGTTCAGGGAGACGAAGGACAAAGGTTGAGGAAGTGCTGTCCTCTAGGTATCATCTAACGGGACAGAATGTACCTGGGTATCAGAGTATTTAGGACTTAAGTTCTAGTTCCAGCTCCGCCATAAACCAAGTCTTGAGATTCCTATAAAAGAAGGGTCCCTTAAAGTGCTTTATAAATTAAAAATTCTTCATCCTGCAAGACCTGAATTTTTTTTTAAGTATCCAGTTTTAGTAGATATTCCATTCCTTCTTGGAAAAGAACATTCTTCAACCCTGCAGTGACGGAGGGCTAATCTGCCTTCCCCCCGTTCTCTTACCTTCTATTTCACTCCTTGCCCCACAGTATTTTTCTGACCTAAGGAACAGTATCGTGAACAGCCAGCCACCAGAGAAGCAGCAGGCTATGCATCTGTGCTTCGAAAACCTGATGGAAGGTATTGAGCGAAATCTTCTTACGAAAAACAGAGACAGGTGAGTCTAGAGGGCCGTGCCAAGGAAACGTGGGTGACTGTTATTTTGCAAGTCATTGAAAGAGGAGTGGTTCCTTAAAGTCTTTGTGTACCCATGTTTAGAGGCCACGTAGAGCAGCACTGTCCGTTAGAAAACAAGCCACATTAAAAAAAAAAGTTGAAAGAAATAGGCAAAAATTCATGTTATCTATATATTTAACCCAATGTGTCTAAAATATGTCAATGTATAGTCAATACTTAAAAGTTGAGAATTCTAACATTCTTTTTACTGTACTAAGTCTTCAAAATCCTATGTATTTTACATTTAACAGTGTATCTCAACTCCTGTGTTAAATTTTCATCAGAAATACTACATCTGTATTTAGAGTTCATAAATTTACAGTTGACAAAGCAGATTCCCATACCAAGCTTATTGCAAACATAAGTTTTCCAATAATTGAATTGAATATCTGGGTTTTTAAATTTTTATTTAATTTAAAATAAGGCATTTGAATTTAAAATTGATTAAGGTGCAATTGGGGAACTGAATTTTAAATTTTATTCAGTTCGTTTCCACAGTCGCACTGGCCACGGTTCAGTGCCATCTGTGGTTGGTGGCTACCATACTGGACAGCACAGCTCTATACTACTGGTGTGTTGGCACTGAGAAATGAGACAGCTTCATTCTCTTACTGCCCTCGCTTTGTGAGGGTTACTGACCACCCATTAGTGAGATTTTTTTTGTGCTGCCATGAGCCCAACATGGACGACAGGGCCCCAGATTTGACCAGATCTCTAGGCCTGGCCTGAAGTTGCCAAGTAGAAAGGGGGAGCAGAACTAAGCCAAGTTGCCCTTAGAGTCTCAAGACTGAGATTAACTGACCTTAGAAACAGAACCCATCAATTCATACATTCTGCTTCCCAATAGCTACTTCACTGCTAAAAAACGTTTTAGGGAAAGACCTTTTCCCTTCCACCCTCCTCCCCCAACCCACATGCATCCTCTCTGCAGGTTCACCCAGAACCTGTCAGCATTCCGTCGAGAAGTCAACGACTCGATGAAGAATTCCACTTATGGCGTGAATAGCAATGACATGATGAGCTGACACCTCCTTGGACTCTACCTGTACAGAGCAGCGTCCCTTTGGTTTGGCCCAGGGGGACGAACAATTGCAAGGGGGAGGGCCTGGCTGATCCTGGCTCCTTCCTCCAGGGGTGTGGGGAAAATGGCAAAGGTCAACTAGCTACTCCCCAGGGAATAGGGGTGTGAGTGCACTCACTAGAGGGCAGGGCGCTGCTGGTTCCTGGGGACTGGGTGGGAAGGGTGGTGGGAGGAGATAGAGACACAAATGTCTGAGACTCCAGCCCCCTCCTCCTGGGGCCACCCAAGGGGGAAGAACCCCCAGTGTCCTGCCACAACCTGCCTTGTATAAACATGTACATTTTTTCATAACATTTTGAACAAGGTTTATATTGACTCAAGTTTAAAAACAAAAGTGTGACTGAAAAATTTTTACAGAGTCTAGTGCACCAATGCTGATGCGAGGGGTTGTGTATGCGAGTGAGGAAAACGTGTATTCTGTGGCCTGAAGCTTTACTGGACAAGGATGTGTGAGAGTGCAGAGATATATTTAGTGACACAGTATAGAGGCAAAAAAAGTAAAAATCCCAAATGTATATTTTTTCTTATTGCCCTTTCCTCACCCCAAAATGATCACTTCCTGTTACTGTATTAACCCTTGTTATTAGGAACTCTAAGCCATGCCAGAGCACCACCCTCCCCCCATAACCGTAGACGCTGCCCTAGGTCCCTGGCCTCTTGCAGTGACAAGTAACTCCAGCTAAAAGTGTTTGGTGTTCTTATCTCCATCCTTTTCCCACTTTGCTTACCCTCATCCTCAGACAGATGCCTCTTGCTTTTAAAAGTTGGATTTAACTATGTGTTGTAGGGTTCTTGGTCTCTGCAGAGACCAGAGAGAAGGAAACGAGCCAGTTGCTCTCCTGTTGCGCGATCTGGATGAGTCCACCAGAGGCCCAGCTGCGTGTGGCCAATAACTTTTAGTCTTCCCCAGCCCTCGAGGCAGTGTGTGTGGCTGTGTGCGTGTGGATATTTATATATGTACCCTGCACTCATGAATGTATGAACTGGAGGAAGTTACTACAGTGGAGGGTTCTTAATAACAAGGTCTACCTAGCATGAAGTATTTAACATCCTCCCACCCCTTTAAAAATATACATTTTTATAAAATGAAAACCATAATAAATGTTTTGAATATTAAAAAAAAAATTAACCTACAGAGGAAAATTAATGGAGAAAGCTATTTGCCTTGTACTTTTTCCACAATTGTTGCTGCTAGTTGTACACATCTCTAGTTCAGCTCTTGCCCACGGGACACTCATCAATTAGGTTTTATTTTTATTTCTCTCCTCTACCCCCAGAAACAAGCCTGTTAATTTTTTTTTCCTTCTCCTCTGGCGACTGTGTGGTGAATCCTTTCTTGCGTGATCAGGTTGCGGATAGACTTGTAAGGGTGTTTGCTGCATACAGTGTAAGCATTGTGACCGCCAATAAACTTCAATGGTTTCTACTGACCTGGCTTCAGCAATCCAGTCTAGTGTGTGTCCAGGGCCACGTCTCTCTAAACACGTGAAGATCTGTGAAACGTGCATTCTTAAGAGCCAGTGGATGACAGGGGCCCCTCAACCTGATAAAATTGTTTCTCATTGGACTAAGTCTGACTCAATTTCTTCTAAAAGTCTGATTGGTTGCATTGAGATACATATAGCATAGGTTGTCCGCAGCTATAAAAGTGAAGCCACTCTACCTCTTTACTAGCTTCCAGGTAATAACGTGGCTACCGGCAGACAACTAGTAATTGAAGAAAGGCCAGTTTTGTTAATGTTCTGACATCGCTCCTCTGACGTGGGCTGGGCTTCATTCATCAGACCTTGACAAGTTCAAGGGCAAATGTTTTCCCCTGGAGTACTATGCAGACATCACAGGCTAGATTTATAAAATGAAGAACACCAGTTAACAGGGACTACTTCTAACTGAGGTACTCTGTAGTACCTAAATATGAGGGAACTCCATTGCCCAGAACGTGGAAAAGTATTAAGATACAGCTAGGTGTGTGTGCCTTAATGCAGACATACATTGCGTGATTCCCGGCCCCAGAGGGCCACTCTTGTGTGCCTTATCTAGACGCACTGCTCCCTTTCTCTGCTGTTTCAGCCCCCTGGGAACTGGCATAACCTTAGTCCTAAGTTAACTTCCAAAGCAAAAAATTGTATTCTAATTGCTAGAAGGCAAATGGAATTGATTCATCGAAGCCAAGTTCCATCTGTAAGGCTAATAAAAACATAAAAACACTCCTGGAGTGAAAAACACTCCTGGCACATACAATTCTAATTCTGTAGTAAATGAGACAAAAATAATTTTCTCACAGGTACTTGAAGAGAGCTCCCCTCTGCCCCAACCTATTAACATACTGAGACGCTGATTGATCAGCAAAACCACAGAGCCCTCCCTTCCACAAAAACAACGTACAGACTCACCAAAGACGGTGGTCTCATCGGTGCAGCCCTGAGCACAGTCCAGTCAGGACAGGCGCTGTGGTTAAAATCTCCCACAGCCCTGTCCAGTTTTAAACAGTGGTGCTGCTCCCTCCAAGATTAATTAAAATTGGGGCATCCAAAAAAAAAAAGCCTTTTTTTTTCCTCCCAGAAATGGTCAATTAGCAATCTCATATGATTCAACCCAGTAAATGTGAAAGCCAGTTATCTTTAAACTTCATTTTCCTGAGAAATCACGGGGAAGTTTTAATCAGTCAAAACCTGAGTTTATTTGGGAGTTTCTAGGCTCTAGGCACTATGTTCATCAAATCGAGTGTCTTTAGACAGTTTCTGACACAAACTGACAAACTGTACTTTACGTTGAAAAAACAGCTAAATCCTTTACTACAGATTATTAAATTATATTTTATGTGTATGCATTTGTTTGTTGACTTAGCCCGAATAAGGGTAATCTGTTCCCACTAAAGTGTAAATCAAAGGAAGGGATGTGGCCCAGAGATGTGATTTTAAGTTTTAAGAAATAATGACTTTCCACAGAAATTTCCATTTCCTAGACAAGTGACAACCTACAAAAAAATAAGTATTTCGTTTTCCAAAACATAGTCTTTATTAAGGACTTTTCTCCCCCAAATGGAAAAATGTTTTAGTGTGTTACGAAATTTCAACCAACTACAGAAACAGAACACTTTCCAAAATACCCATGGTCTCTTTCCAACTCAGGAACAGTGAAAGAAAAAAAAAAAAACAGAAAATATCCATGGTCGTGGGGTAACATGAACTAAATCTAGAAAGCCAAAACACCTCCCTATTTCGTATTTGCCCCTGTCCCACCCTGTCCTCACCATAGATTTTTGGGTAGCTCTACAAACCTAAGCCGAGATAAAATGCTACCAAAGTGTCAAATGCCAACGAAAAGGGAGAGGAAAGATTATAATTACTGCAAAGTCCTGGTGCTTTAAACATTTTTTTAGAGTAAGTCTGAAAGGATAAAAGTGTATTCACCAGCCATAATTACGCAACAATCAATTAGATGATAAATGATGTCTAAGTAGATTCTTGCCTTTGTAGCTTGTCTTCAGGGTCCATTACTTTTACCTTAGATACCCTAAATTCACTGGTCGGTCAGTCACTTTGATGGGCTTTAGGAATGGTGGGTCAATAAAGGAATCACCTAACACAATGGGGATATGAGACCATCAGGGTGGAGGATGAAATAGTTTGGAAAGTCATTCCCCTTCCTCAGAAAAGCCTTATGGTTCTCAGGACAAGCTGACTGCCCTTCGTTGTCTATTCATTTTACAAATACTTATTCAGCATTTATCTTGTCTTTTTTTTTTTAAAGACAAGGTCTAGCTTTGTCACCCAGGCTGGATTGCAGTGGTGCAATAACAGCTCACTGCAGCCTCAAACTCCTGGACTCGAGCAATCCTCTTGCCTCAGCCTCTTGAGTAGCTGGGACTACCGGTGTGCACCACCATGCCCAGGTTTTTGTTTAAGAGACAGGGTCTCACTGTGTTGCCCAGGCTGGTCTTGAACTCTTGGCCTCAAGCCATTCTCCTGCCTCAGCCTCCCAAAGTTCTGGAAATATAGGTGTGAGCCACTGCACCCATTTTCAAATATTTTTTTGATGGTCAGCAACAGAAAAGGAAGCTCAAAAGAAAAGCAGATAAAGTCACTTGCAAGGCAAATTCATTTCCACTCTTCTGTGTAAGATCCCTCCATAGTTCAAAATGACTTCAAAACATATGAAACAGTGCTTACAAATGCATGATACACACAATTATATTTTTAATTTTCTGCATGATGATAGCCACGAACTCAAGTCATCATGCACTTAAACATACAGCAGTACCCATATGGTCCTAATCGTCCCACTCTTCTGTTGCAAAGGAATGAAAACCGGCAGGTGGGGAATCTACTAACCCCTGCCATGGAATCAGATTAATCAAGTCAGGGCATCTGTATTCATGGTCTGAAAGACAAACAGGATAAAAACTAAGGGACAGTGGATTTGGACTTACGTAAAGCTCAGGGGGGCCAGTATACAGAGTCTGATAGGTACTCCCTGCAGCTGATAACAGGGTGGGAGAACATAAGGGCAGCAGTCTCAAAGTCAGAACCCAAGCCTCTCCCCAGCTCCTAGAGACACTATACTGTGTAAAGAAGGTAAAGCATCCTTTCAAGGCCAAATTAACTTGTCTGGAAAATGGTTGAGAGTACCAACTAAGATAGTGGAAATGAAACCACTTTTAATTCTAAGAATATAGCAGGCCATTATATCATTCAAAAAACTAGCTACCCACCCTTTAACAGCTTGCAGTCTGGGGCATGTGTCACGAAGATCAAGTTATAAGCTTTATCAAACAAGCTACGAACACTGCAGCAGAACTCTTCCATTCAACTAGACAGATGCAACTGCCGTCCGCCTCTTCCCGGTCTGTAGAACCCTCTCTTCTCAGGCTAAACTTAGATGCCCGTTGCTCACCTGCCCTTTTCAAGATCCAAAATCCCTCTCAAAGTCTCCCCTTACTGTCCCTGTGCCTAAGAGACTTAGGGCAAACCTGCTCGTTCCTTTGGGGTGTTCCTAACCCAACCCCTACCTGTCCCAGCAACCAAAATGTGCTCCTTACAAGACGGGACCAGACCATGATGTCACGTTATGAAAAGGATGTGTAGTTTCTGGAGCGTAGTGGGAGTCCGCAGAAGATGGTGGGTGGAGGCTGGAGAGAGCTTTTGGAACTAATTTGGGTGAAGCCCCTGCAAGGAGAGGATGCCTGGTTTAGGCGGGCTAAACTCACGCCGTTGCCATAGGCCTCTACGGCAAGGAAAAGCAGAAGCGGCTGACATCTTCCCGCCTGGACCCAGCAAAGGACAGAGGGGAACAGTGCGCACCCGACCCCTCCTGTCGCTGCGGGCACGCCGCGCCTCCGGAAGTGGTTCCGCGCGCCCCTTCCGTCGGAAGGAGGTGCGGCGGCCCGTCGCGTCTGCGCACAGAGGCCCGCTCGCCGGGCTCGCCCTTCGCCCCTCGCCCCGCGCAGGCGCAGTGAGGACTCGGCCCCGCGCGGGCGGGCCTGAAGTGTCGAGGTCGGAAGGGCGAGGGTCTGGCTGCTGCTTGAGTGAGGGGTGTCTTAAGAAGGCCGGAGCTGGGCTTCTGCGGCCCTCGGACCCCACCGATCCGTGTGCTGGTGAAGGTTCGAGTTCACGCTCACAGCGGCCTCACGGTCAGTAGCCGCAGTGATCCCAGAGGCACGGTGAGGGCTCGATCCTTGCTCGGAAGAACTCCGTGTCGCTGGCGGACGGACAGGATGGCCCCTGCGCAGCACGGCGTGCGCCCCGAGAGAGCGTAGGAGAAGCGGCCAGTCGAAGGAGGCAGGGAAGGACACCGCGCAGTGCAGAAACACTGAGGCGGGAAGCATCTTGCACTCTTACAGCAGTGGCAGAAAGTGTGGCTGGAGGGAGAGGCGGCCCTAAGGTGTCTGGATGAGGGTGGGGCACAGGAGCTTGGGATTTGATCCAAAAGCTCTACCTTTTTCCAAAGGCCATTTGGCATAGCAGCCTGGTGATCAATCTGTTTAACCCACCAGCTAGTGGGTGATACGGATTTGAAGCGAGAAGAGGGCAGAGGGGAGAGTTGAGAGAGACTAAGACAGCTGGAAGCAACAGGTCTTTGTGACCAGTTGGATTTGGAGAGTGAAGAGGACTCTAGTAGGATTCCCAGGTTCAGAACAGGGCAGCAGCCAAGTAAAGAAGAGGAAGCATGGAGCGGCAGGGGCCTGTGAGTGCGGTGGAGGAGGGTGCTGGGTGAGCCTGAATGGAACTCTCGCCCAAAGAAATTTCCCTGCTCTTTTAGGCAGAGCGCCTGGGAGATGTCAAAAACTGATTGCTACAAAATAAATGATACTCGCAAAAACTCAGAAAATAGTAGAGAAGGGAACACTTCCTAACTCATTTTATGAAAGAAGCATTTCCCAAATACCAAAACCAAAGATATTTAAAAAAATAAAATTTAAAAAACCAGGCCAGCTGTGGCAGCTCATACCTTTAATCCCAGCACTTTCAGAGGCTGAAGCAGGAGGATCACTTAAGATTAGGAGTTCAAGACCAGCCTGGGCAACATAGTGAGACCTCACCTCTACAAAAAAAGAAGGAATAATAGCCAGTTGTGGTGGTATGTGCCTGTAGTTCCAGCTACTCGGAAGGCTAAGGTAGGAGGATTGCTTGAGCCCAGGAGTTCAAGGCTGCAGTGAGCTATGATGGAGCCACTGTATTTCAGCCTGGGCAAAAGAGCGAATCCCTTTCTCTGGGAAAAAAAACAAAAACAATAAACAGAAGAAAACCTTTTAGACTAATATCCTTCAAGAACATACATGCAAAAATCCTAAACAAAATATAAGCAAGTCAAATCCAACAATATAAAAAGGATAATACATCATGACCAAGTGGGATTGATCCTAGGAATGCAAGGTTGGTTTAACATTCAAAAACTCAATAATATCAACCATGTAAACAAAATAAAGGATAACTAATGGATCATCTCAATATATTTATAAAGAAAAACCATGATGAAATTAGATATCCATTCATGATTCAAAAAATCAGCAAAGTAGGAATATAAAGAAACATTCTTAATAAAGGACTTCTACAAAAAGCCTACCACTAACAGCATACTTAAAGGTGAAAGACTGATGGTTTCCCACAAGAACAAGGCAAGGATGCCCACTCATCACTTCTATTCAACATTTTACTAGAGGTCCTAACCAGAGCAATAAGGCACAAGAAAGAAAGAAAAGGCACATAGATCAGAAAGGAAGAAGTAAATCTAGGTGAGTACCTGTGATAGGTACTCTCATCATCATCACCATCATCGCAGAGGAAGGGAGGAAGGAAGCCTGGTACAGAGGCAAGGTGAAATCAGGAAGACTCCAGCCACATCCCCACACTCTGAACATCTGCCTCTGAGCCACTGTGCATGCTGTTCCACTGTGCATACCCGCTGTGTCACACATCGCCATTGCCACCGGCTCAAATCATGGAGATCGCTCTAAAGCCACCCCAGATCCCTGCAATCAGATGCATTCTCCATTCCCAACCAAGCCCCTCCGTGTTGCTGCCTCCTCACCTGGCTTTATCTGGTCTCTCAGGGACAGAGACCAGGCTCCCAGTCTAGGACCAGGTACACAGCAGGTGCTCAATACACACTTAAGGCTGCAGAGTCCTGCTCACTTGTCCTCTGACCTGAAGGATACTCTGCTTCCCTCAGATGCTCGTCTGGGGAGACCAATCCTTGCCCTTGAAGTCATAAAGTCATTACCAAGGGGTACAGTCATGACACGTCTTCAAAGTTTAAAACCAAATTAAAACTGGGAAGGAAAAACGCCATGAGAGAGATCCCTAGTTATGTGTGACTCCCAGGCAGATGTATCTCAAGGATGGGTCAGCTGAAAGCCCCCTCCTCTTCACTGCCCCTGCCAAATAAACTTTCAAGTGCGCCCTGTGGCCTGGGCGCCGCTGCTCTTACTCGGCGGCCCTCGTGAAGCCGCTGGCCGAGCTCCGTGGTGCGTCCACCGCTCCTCTCCAGGGGAAAACTCGCCCTCTCTGGAGACACCGCCCTGGAGCACCGGCCGTCTGGGCCTTGGGAAAGGTCCACGCTTGAGGGAAGGGGGAAGAAAGCGAAGCAAGGCAGGCAGTGAGCCCGGAGGGGCGCTCCAAGCCAGGAGGGGCGTCTCTGGGCTGGGCGCGGGGTCCGCAGAGGCCGCGGTGAAGCCCATCGGCCGCGCCAGTGGTTCTCCGGCGCGGTGCCGGACCAGCTGCACCGCCCTCACCTGGGACCTTGTTAGAAATGCAAATTCTCTCGGCCTCACCGAGACCTACTTAAGGGGAAACAGTGGTGTGAGGCCCAGTAATGCGCGCTTTAGAGAGCCTGCCAGGTGATTCCACCACCCGGGGAGGAGGAAGGAATGGGAGCAGGGATGGGGAGACGGGGCTACCTCCAGGCTGATTGCACACCTCCCCTTCTCCTTCCCCGGCCTCTTAACAGCCGGGGCGGGCAGCCGCCCTCCGCCGGGCATGAGGCTGCGCTGTGCTCCGGGGGCACCCAGAGTGTGACCCGCCTGCACGGAGCTAGGACGGTGAGGCTGGGCCGCACAGACAGCGCCTTTCTCCGCGGCCCCGTGGAGGGGGCACAGCCCTGGGCTCTCCCCGCCGGTGGGGCGGCTGGTGCTTGGCCTCTAGGAGCCCACCACGAGCCCTTGACCGTGGCAGGCGATCTCCGGCCGGGAGCCAGGCCTCGCCACCTGCCGTGCGGGCCGCCCCTGGCGTGGCTCGGGCGCCGGGCCTGCTGAGCTCTGGGCCGGGGAGGGGGCCAGGGCCTCGCCTCACCGCAGGGGCTCTTCTTGCAGCTGCCCGGTCGCCCCCTCCTCGGCCCCCAGCCATGAATCTCAGCAGCACCAGCAGCACGGCCGAAAAGACAGTGACGACCGTGCTCTGGGGTGAGTGGGGACCCAGGCTCCTTCCCAGCGCAGCCCCGCGACGCCCACCTCGTCCCCGCAGCTGGGGGCGCGGGAGAGCCGCTCGCTTGGGGGGGAGGGCTGCAAGCGGGGTATGGACAGCCTTTCTGGGGCCCCCTGCCCGCCCCGCTCCCTCTCCCTCGGCAGGCTGTGAGCTCAGTCAGGAGAAGCGGACTTGGACCTTCAAGCCCCAGCTGGAGGGCAAGCCCGACTGCAAGTTGCTGCTTCACACGGTGGGTGTCCCCTGGAGGAGCGGAGAAGGATGGAGCAGGTGGCAGGTGACAACAGGTTTCCCCCGCCTGCCTTCAAGGTGATGAGGTGTTTTGACCCCTTGCAGATTTGCCTGGGGGAGAAAGCCAAGGAGGAGCTGAACCGCGTGGAGATCCTGCCCCTCTCGAACCTGGAGGACAAGAAAGCGCAGCCGGTCACCATCGCCTCGCTGCAGGCCTCGGTCCTGCCCATGGTGAGCCTTTCCCGCGGGCGTGTGCTGCGCGCCGCCTCCCCGTCGGGCCCGCGGGGGTCGGACACAGACCAGGGTGCGCTCACCCCCCAGCAGCGGCGTGACCGCCGCCCCTTCCCGGAGCTGCCTGAGCCAGGGCAAGCTAAGTAACCTCTCCGCAAAGAATTACATTTTTAAACTATGCACTGCTAGAGACAGCAGCACTAATCTACATATTGGTTGTGCATCTAGAAATTCTCTTGTTTCTAATCATTTATCTGTTTCTAATCATTTATCATTTGCATTTCTATTCAGATGATCATTGTGAATAATGGCAGTTTTGTGTCTATTTTTATTTTTATTTTTTAATTCTGCTACACTGGCTAGGATCTGTAGTATAACACTGGATAAACGTGATACTAGTTGGCATCTTTATTTCCTTCCTGATTTTTTTTTTAAGGAATGTTTCTAATGTGTTCTCCATTAAGTGCGAAGCGTTTGGTAAATACCCTTTGCTAGGTTAAGGAAGTCTCCATCTAGTCCTACTGTGCTTTAACTTTTTTGTTTCTTTTTAATCATGAATGGTGGTGAAATTTTATCAAATGTTTTTCTGTTCATATGATTCTGGGTTTGTTCTTTAATTCATTAATGTGGTAAATTATATTAATAGAATACTCTGAACTGCTTGCAGTCCTGTGATAAACACTACTTAATATTATAAATTCTAGATTTGCTTTGCTAACACATTGAGACTTCTCTTCTTTCTAATTTTATTTATTTTTTCTTTCGCGTTAAGTCGTCTCAGGATTTGTTTTTTTAATTTATATACTTGGAAGTGAGGTTGCCCTATAAATGATCTTATTTGGTGTCGAGGCATGCTAGCCTCATGAACTGAGGATGGTGTGTTCCCTCTGTCTGTTCCCTGGAATGGTGAGTGTAAGAGCAGGATTTAGCTGTTCTGGAAGGTTTGGGAGACCCACCTATAAAACTGTTCTCAGACCTATTTTCTTTTTTATTCACACTTCTTAGGAGATCTCATCCATTTTCATGATTTTAAAGGCCATCTATGTAAATGAAGACTCGAACTTATTCCCATTAATCCAACCTCCCTCTTGGGCTCCAGGTCCTATATCGACTCAGCGTTTTTAATGGGTGTCTAATAGATGCCCTAAACTGAACACGTCTAATCCAAGTACTTGAATATTATCTCTAATTCCACCCCCGCCACGATCCTCTCCCAGCGAATAGCTCTCACAGCTGTATCTGATCCACCAACTCTGCCCTAACAACATACAAGTCTCACCACCTCCCCTGCTACACCCTGGTCCAGTTGACTTGTCGCTTTTTGCTCGATTTTGTTGCAGGGCCTCCCAACTACCTTCACCTTGGGCTAAGTCTGGCCCACCGCCTGTTTTTGTAAGTAAAGTTTTATTGGAACACAGCCATGCTCATCCATTTATATCTTGTCCGTGGCTGCTTTCCCTCAACAACAGCAGCGCTGAGTAGCCTTGGTGGAGACCATATGGTTTACAAACCTAAAATATTGCCATCTGGTCCTTTATAGAAAGTCGCCGCACTTCTGGTCTATTCTGCACACAGTTTCCAGAAAGATCCTTTTAAACACAAGTCAGATCATGTTGGAACATTTAGGTGGTGGCTTCCCACCTTACTCTGAATAAGACCCAAGAGGCTTGCCACGGGCTGCCTCAAAGCCCTTGTGTGCTGGCCCTCAGCGACCTTGCTGACCTCAAGCTCCCCTCCCTAACCCTGCTCACACCACATTGGTTCCTTGACTGCACCTTAAACTTCAAAGGTACCCCCACCTTGTGGTCTTTGCATTTACTGCTCCCCATGCCTGGAACACTCTCCCCCTGTATGTTGCCACGGCTAGCCCTCCCGTTCAATCCAGCTTGGTTCCAATGTCATCTCATCGAAAAGGTCTTCACTGACCACAAGCAGCATCTCCTCTTCCTGCCACACCCAGGAAATTTTGATAAGTGATGTTTTCATTTTCATTCAGTTCAAATTATTTTCTAGTTTCCTTCAGCCCCTGGAGGATTTAGAAGTATGTGTATTTAACTTCCAGATCATTAGGGATTTTCTAAAATTAATTAATTTCTAGTTTAATTCCATTTTGGTCTGAGTGCTTAATTGATAGGATTTCAGTCTAAAACGTGTTATGCGCCAAGCGCAGTGGCTCATGCCTGTAATCCCAGCACTTTGGGAGACTGAGGTGGGGGGATCGCTTGAGGCCAGGAGTTCGAGACCAACCTGGGCAACACAGCCAGATTCCATCTTTACAAAAAATAAGAAAAATTTGCCAGGAGGATCACTTGAGCCCAGGAGTTTGAGGCTGCAGTGAGCTATGATGACACCACTGCACCCTAGCCTAGGCAACAGAACAAGACCCTGTCTCAAAAAAAAAAAATGTTTTTTTGATGTGTTGTGACTTTTCCTTATGGCCCAGAATGTGTTCTACCTTGGTGAATATTTCATTTATTACGCTTAAAGAATGTGTGTTTTCCTGATGTTGGGTATATTGTTCTACAAATGTCAGTTATATCAAGTTCGTTAGCAGTTTTGTTCGAGTCTTCCATATCTTTACTCATCTTCTGCCTACTGGATCTATTAATTACTGAGGGAGAAGTGTTGCAATCTCCAACAGCAATTGTGACTTTGACTATTGCTCCTTTCAATTGTCAGTTTTTGCTTCATGTATTTTGAAGCTCTCTTATTAGGTGCATATGCCTCTAGGATTGTTAGAGCCTCTTGATTAATTGATTCCTTTATCATTATGAA